GCCATTCAAACAAAGGCTTTACTTCAATTCCAGTCTGGTCAGTCTCACCCGACCTGACCAGCCCATCCCGCTCGCAGGTTTTTGGGAAGGATCGTGTTCTCGGGTGTGGAAAACTGCCGGGACACGCTGTCGACGTACACGTAGGACAGTTGGGCGCGTGGCTCATCAGTGCAAGAAAGGGCAAGCTGACATCACCAAGCCAAATCAGACACGTGCCACCAGGAATTTTAGAAGTAGAATTGCTGGACTTTGTCGCGCTGTCCTTCTCGTAATCGCCAAATATCATGATACTGTATATGCTCTCTACCTTAGATGCAGTGCTCTTGGAACTAATTGTTTTCAGGTCTTCTTATCTTACCGTAAGTGGTGTTCGACATGGGATGAAGGGCTGTCCAGAGGGAGAATTGCCTAATTTCTCGCCTCATGCATGGGAGACTACAAACACCCACTGGTATCTCACAATAACATTCAGAAAATTATTAGAAGGCGTTTGTGAAACTACTACAAAGGTCTTAACAATGACGACTTCTTACTGAATGTAACATAAGTACAAGCATAATACCCAATTGCAGATACCCATAACCTCTGAGAGGGTAGTGAACAGTAGTTGACCGCATCCTCTATAAGAGGCGGAATGCGCCACTAGCACAATCACCGTTATAGAACTCTACCCTTTTGGTTATTTCAACATCGAAAAACACGGGAACGGGAAGCACCTAGAAGAGGTAATCAGGTATCATAATAGCACCCAACAGAGCGGGTTCAATCGGGCAATCCCCGCCTGGTTGGGATAAAAGAATAAAGACATACAGTACACCAGAGGAAACAAGAATTGAGAGGGTTGGACTTCGGAGAATTCTCAAAAGCGACAGGGTGGACAGACAAAATGGTACAACGGTGCACCGTGCACCATTGACATGGTATCGGGAAACCTAATATGCAATGAGTTTATGCATCATGACGACATGCAGACTGCGAGATGATTTGCGAATGGTAACTCACGTTCTTGCCATCGCAACCGTCAGAGGACCAGCTATTGTGCGCGACAAAGTTCGGCTCGAGGGGAAGCAGTTATCGTCAGTGAAAAAAGTGACGTAGAAACGGTTTGTGATTGGTTGGCAACTTACGTTCTCGCCATCGCAACCGTCGGAGGACCACCCATTGTGCGCGACAAAGTTCGGCTCGAAGGGGAGCAGTTATCGTCAGTGAAAAACGAGACGTAGAAACAACCCGGAACACCGTTAATGTGATCCAGTGAATACATGAAAGAGTATATCCCGGCAACCTCCTTCGGGATTGGAGTGCAGCCGGGTTGATTCAAGCGGATGGTATAGGGCTTCGATGCGTTGCCTTTGGCGTTGGGATCTGCGACGAAAGTCATACTGCTGGCAGACACTTGGTCAGGTGAACCTGGGAACGGATGGGAGAAGCAGCAGGGCAAACAGCAGGGGAGTGGGGTGGAGCATGGATGGGAAAACCAGCCGTTGATGTGACCCAGTGAGTACATCAGCGTGTGGATCCCGGCATCCTCCTTCGGGTCTGGAGTGCAGCCGGGTTGATTCAAGCGGATGGTGTAGGGTTTGGACGCGTTGCCTCGGATGTTAGAGTCCGCGGTGAGAGTCATGCTGCTGGCAGACACTTGGTCGGGTTGGTCTGAGAATGGATGGGAGAAACAGCAGGAGGTTTTTTCAGGCACCTCAGACAATGCCTCTGGTGTTACTAACCCGGAAGAGAGTCATACTGCTGGCAGACACTTGGTCGGGTGAACCTGAGAACGGATGGGGCAAGCAGCAGGGGAGAGGGGTGGAGCATGGATTGGAGAGGGAACGAGAAGGTCATGTCATGATGCTACGAATCGGGAGAAGAAGGAACTGTGAAGGTAAAAATCTGATCCGCGTACAAGTCGCCTGCTGCAATACACCAGAGTCAGGGAAAAAAAAAAAAAAAAAAAAAAAAAAAAAAAACAGAACAAAACGAAACGAAACAAAAAAACATTCCAAGTTCAAGCTACCGCTGCACTCCAAGCTGTGTAGTCGTTCCGTAAGGCGCCTTAAGTTTGAGGTGCCTCACAAGTAGAGAGGCTCTCCGCTTCAGGAACATGCCACCCACCTTTGAGGAACCTCAACCTTGAGGTTGAGAGGCTTTTCTCAGACCCACTTCATGCGCTGATCCAGTGAAAATGTTTTGACTCCACCCAAACCTTGAGAGGCTTTTTTCGAAAGTTCTCAGGCCCCCATGAAACGCTGAGCTAGGAGAACGCAGCATGTGATCGAAGGAGAGGAAGCAGACGAGGCGGTATTGAATCTTACAAGGTGACTTTTCAGTCGACTCAAGAGTAACCGTGAAAAGCCGAGCCAGGCGAATGCCGCATGTGATCAAAGGAGAGGAAGCAGACGAGGCGGCATTGAATCTTACCCTGGATGCATCCTGTTGCCGTCAGCCCATACCCCGGAGGGCACTGGCAGTACGGCACCTCCGCCTGCTGCTGGGGACTAGTTGCTGTTGCAGGGACGGTCTTGCAAGTCATTAGATCGAGATGAAGCAAAGAGGGCGGCATTGAATCTTACTCTGGATGCACCCTGTTGCGGTCAGCCCATAGCCCGGAGGGCACTGGCAGTACGGCACATCTGCCTGCAAAATACTAGATGTTGTTGTAGGGACGGTCTTGCAGGTGGCTCCAGTGGGGCAGGAGCCGCAGGGAGAGTCTGAGGAACAGGGCAAGGGGGGGGGGGGGGACACATGGAATGAAGGAGAGATGGTGAAATGAGGCGGGAGGGCACTGGCAGTACGGCAACTCGGCCTGCAAAATACTAGATGCTGTTGTGGGGACTGTCTTGCAGGTGGCTCCAGTGGGGCATGTGCCGCAGGGAGAGTCTGAGCAACACAGCAAGCAGGGGGGAAACATGGGATGACAGAGAGATGGCAAAAGGTTGGGTGCGGTAAGAGGTATGGACTGTCTTGCAGGTGGCTCCAGAGGGACACGTGCCACAGGGTGAGTCTGAGCAACACAGCAAGCAGGGGGGAAACATGGGATTGCAGAGAGATGCCAAAAGGTTGGGTGCGGTAAGAGGTATGGACTGTCTTGCAGGTGGCTCCCATGGGACACGTGCCACAGGGAGAGTTTGAGCAACACAGCAAGCAGGGGGACACATGGAATGGCAGAGAGAAGGCAAAATGAGCGCAACAAACGGGCCAGCTGGAGGCTTTTCAGGCACCTCAAAAGTCAAAGCTTTAGTTTTCAAAAGTCCAGATGAGGACAGCAAAGGGGGCAGATGCAGAGGAATGCTGACAAGAGCCAGAGGCAAAGGGGGCAGCTGCACGTATGGAGCAGGTGCTTCCTTGAATAAGAGAGCTAGAGGAGAATGAGTGCGGATGGGTGCTGATAGGATGGCTTGAGGGAATAAAAGGCTAGAAGCCATGCTTACTCCAGGAGCAGATTTCATCGGCGCTTTTCACGCAAACGCCATCCGGGTGACGAATGTTGAGTGGAGAAAGCAGCATAAGGGGCAGCTGAACCAAAGCATAGAGCTGAAGGAGAATGAGTGGTGCTTACTCCATTTGCAGGAGCGAATTCCATCGGCGCTTTTCACGCAAACCCCATCCGGTTCGCAACCCAATGCGGCGCAAGCCGTGTCTGATATGCGTGTACGTGGATGGAAGGGTGGACGAAAGGATGGGGCAGAAGAAGGGGGAACAAGAACTTGTGAGGCGCCTCAACAGACAAACCCCATCCGGTTCGCAACCCAACGCGGCGCAAGCCGTGTCTGATGTGCGTGCATGGAAGGATGGGGTGGAAGAATGGGGCAGAAGAAAAGGAAAAACGAGGATGATGAAAGAAAAGAAAAGAAATACAGGATTTGGAACAAGCATGGTAGCAGGTCAAGCTAAGCTAGGTGCTATGGGCAAGCAGGTGGGTGGGTGGAGCATGCATGATAGCAGGTCAAGCAAGAATTTGCAAATGTGTAAAACAAATCTCCACCCTTCCAGACAAGACCACAGCAGCAACTCACCGACGCAGCGCAGTTCATTGGGAGGCATCCCGAAGCCCGCGACGCACTCGCAGGTGGGAAGGAGAGGAGACACAGGCAAGTGAAGAGCATTCCACTGACACAGCAACTCACCGATGCAACAACTCACCGATGCAACAACTCACCGATGCAACAACTCACCGATGCAACAACTCACCGATGCAACAACTCACCGATGCAACAACTCACCGATGCAACAACTCACCGATGCAACAACTCACCGATGCAACAACTCACCGATGCAACAACTCACCGATGCAACAACTCACCGATGCAACAACTCACCGATGCAACAACTCACCGATGCAACAACTCACCGATGCAACAACTCACCGATGCAACAACTCACCGATGCAACAACTCACCGATGCAACAACTCACCGATGCAACAACTCACCGATGCAACAGCTCACCGATGCAACAACTCACCGATGCAACAACTCACCGATGCAACAACTCATCGATGCAACAACTCACCGATGCAACAACTCACTGTCACAACAACTCACTGTCACATCAACTCACTGTCACATCAACTCACTGTCACATCAACTCACTGTCACAACTCACTGTCACAACAACTCACTGTCACAACAACTCACTGTCACAACAACTCACAGATGCAGAGCAGTTCGTTGGGAGGCATCCCGAAGCCCGCGTCGCACTCGCAGGTGGAAAGGAGAGGAGACATAGGCAGGTGAAGAGCATTCCACCGACACAACAACTCACCGACACAACAACCACTGCAGCAACTCACCGACGCAAAGCAGTTTGTCCGGAGGCATCCCGAAGCCCGCGTCGCACTCGCAGGTGGGTTCGCCGTTCCCCTTCCTCACGCACTTGCCATTGGCCCCGCAATCCACTGCAGCACAGTTGTCTGAAGGCAGGAGGAGGCATTCAACTTGTGCAAGAGGTTAGAGTAAAGTGTTGCAGAGTCAGGTAGACATAAAATGCATTCACTTGTGCAAGAAGTTAGAGATCAGAGGAGGTAGACTTATGCTTTTCTGGGCTTGCAACACAAGGCACGGGCTCTGCGTTGCTCTCCTCCCACTCACCAATGCAAGAGAGCGAGTCATTCGACGGCTTAAAGCCCGTGTTGCATGCACAGAGTGGCTTCCCGTTCGCGTCCTTCGTGCAGTTGCCTCCAGGGCCACACTTCACCGCGTCACACAAGTCTGCAAGGGAAGAGGGACCCAGGCACGGGAAGAGGGACCCAGGCACGGGGAAGGCTATTATCATATCAGAAATATGTAAGATTGGAATCTCGACAGTCAATCAAGGGACACTGAGTTGAATAAAGGGACACTGAGTTGAATAAAGGGACACTGAGTTGAATAAAGGGACACTGAGTTGAATAAAGGGACACTGAGTTGAAAATACATGCAATTCGTGACTCTCACAAGAGAGTTGAGAGGAGGCCAAGTTTCAACTGGGTTTGAACCGCAATCAAGGCATGCCCTCTGTGTTGCTCTCCTCCTACTCACCGATGCAGGAAAGGGAGTCATTCGACGGCTTAAAGCCTGTGTTGCAACTACAGGATGGCTTCCCATTCGCATCCTTCGTGCAGTTGCCGCCAGGCCCACACTTCACCGCAGCACACAAGTCTGCCAGGAAAGGAGACCCAGGCACGTAGAAGGAAAAGATTAAAGCCCTGGTTGCATGGAGAAGTGAGTGGAGGGAGCAGGAGAGGCAAGGAGATACCACATGGAACGTACCTTGGCAGGTGCCATTGACGGCGGCAAAGCCGGGGTTGCATGCACAGGTGACGGCCTTGCTGTCCGTCGTTGGCATGCACGTGGAGTTGGCTGGACACGTGGCGTGCTGGCAGGTGATTTCTGCGATGAGAGGGGGTCCAGCACGGGAAAAGAAGAGTCATGGGTAGCACAGGGACACGTGGCGTGCTGGCAGGTGATTTCTGCGAGCACGGGGTGAGAAGAGAGACACACGGGCAGCACATAGACACGTAGGGAGAAATGTGTGCAGCGCGGCAGAGATGTGTGCAGGGAGGCGAGGAGGAAAGGAGGCAACGAAGCAACGAGGCAGGAGGCAAGGAGGCAAGGAGGCAAGGAGGCAAGGCGGCAAGGAGGCAAGGAGGCAAGGCATCAAGGAGGCAAGGCGGCAAGGCGGCAAGGAGGCAAGGCGGCAAGGCGGCAAGGAGGCAAGGCGGCAAGGCGGCAAGGCAGCAAGGCACGCACCACACTTGCAGGAGACGGAAGTCCATCGGGGAATCTTCTTTGCGCTGCAAGCACGAATGGCAGGAACACATTCAGATGAGACATGAGGAATGAGACGTTATGTTAGGGTGGCACACACAACCCGAGGCATGACTGTGGCATTGGTAGAGGAAACTCACTCCCATGCACCTACCCCTATCATGCACCTGCCCTGCTCCCATGACCCATCACCAACATGTCTCGTCTCATCACCTGCCTTTTCCTTATGACCCACCTGGGCACGTGGAAGAATCTCCTCAGAGCAGCAAACTGCGGCTGCAGCACCTCATCCAGCGCCTTGCCCTTGCAGGCCGGGTTGGCAAAAAACTTGAGTTGCTTGCATGCCGCACCCCCTCCCTTGCTGCCACCCCTGCTGCCGCCCTTGCCGCCGCCCGTGAGCCCGTGCCACCACACCTGCACGTCACCCGCCGCCTTGCGCGCCGCCCGGGGAAGGCTGAAGCAGCGGAGGGCGTCGAAGCTGACGGGGACGCTCACACCCGGCACCGCGATCACTGTTGCCACGTGGACTCTCGCCTCCACCGCCCCGCCTGTGGTGCTTCGAACCCCCACCCCCACGCCCACGCCCACGCCCGCCTGCATGCTCTGGTTCCCGCTTCCTGCAGTGGTCTCGCTCTTTACAGCCTCGGTGGCCGTGGCGACCGCTGGAGGGACAGGGAGCGGGAGAGAGGGGTGAGAGGGAGGAGAGGGGTGAGAGGGAGGAGAGGGGTGAGAGGGAGGAGAGGGGTGAGAGGGAGGAGAGGGGTGAGAGGGAGCAGAGGGGTGAGAGGGAGCAGAGGGGTGAGAGGGGTGAGAGGGAGGAGAGGGGTGAGAGGGAGCAGAGGGGTGAGAGGAAAGGAGGGCAGAGTGTGCTTGCTTCTCAGGCGCAGTATCCAGGCGCTTATTCTTTTGATGCACTTTTTGTATCGAGCGATGAGCTTTCCATCCACTGTGCTGATCCAATAAAGTATCCCCACTAGATCTTGCGGGGGTTTATGGTGACTTTTGAGTCGACTCAAAAGATCTTGCGGGGGTTTTTGCGGGGGTTTATATTCAGAAATTCGCGGAACAAACACACAGAAACAGAATGAGAAATCCCTTGGGATGCAAGAAGTGACAACGAACACGCCGCAGATGATTGGGCGAGGAGAGAGAAGCGACTCACCGCAGATGACGGCGAGGACGAGGAGCGGAAGCAGCGCGACAGGAGAGGAAGCCATGACGGTCAAGTTGCCACTGTTTAGGATGCGTCTCAAAGCGCGCCGCTGCCGCTGCCACTGTTTTGTGGTGTCTCAAAGCGCGCAGCTGTTACTGGGGTGTACAGCACGCAGTCCAGTGACGGGGTCGGCGAACCTCACACGACGGGGTCTCAGGTGACGGTAGTCGCACGCGAGAGTCACGCACGATGAAAAGCGCAGCTCGTGGCGAGCTGAGAAGCGCAATGCGGGGCGCACTGAGAAGCGCAATGCGTGGCGCACTGAGAAGCGCAATGCGCGGCGGAATGTCAGGAAAGACGATTCCGAAATGAATTGACAAGAGCAGGCGTTGCAATGGTAGGTATAGCTGAAGGTATATAGTGAGAAAGCTGCTGGCGTTACTATCACTGCACGAATATGGCACAGAAGCGGCGAAAGAAATTGCTTCCATGGCTGCTGGTGGGTGGTCTATACGCAAGGCTTGATGCTCCCCCATCGCCAGGAGGCTAAGCGCGCGGGACATCTGCGCGTTCCGCGAGCACTTCCGCCGCTTCCCCACCGCCCGAGGCTGATATTCCAGTAATAGTCACTAGGAACGCGATCGGGTGGCGCCGCGCGATTGGGAGTTATTGATGCATTTGGGGGTTGCGAGCTGAAATGCGAGCTTAGCTTTGAATCGCAATTCTGTGGCGTGCTGCATTGCGAAGGCCCGCGCAGGCCGGAAACAGGGCGACTGGCAGTCGCCTGCGGTGTCGCTCTGGCTGGTGAGCGACGGTGCAACTCGAGTGAAGCAACGGGATTGGAGCATGTTTGAATTATGCAGGACTGCGAGCAATCTTGCCCTATGTTCTGGCCTGGGATAGATAGTAGGAAGAGAGTTCCCGTCCGAGCACGGAAGTGAATTATTGCAAGCGCACAACTCACATTGCTTTTCAATCTCACGGCTCACAGTTGTTCATTTCTTCCTACTGGGTGACTTATTGAAATCGCACGGCTCTCATTGGCTCATCCCCCCTTTTAGCGGAGCGTGAATTATTGGAACTGCGGGGGCGGAGGGGATGTGTGAGACACCTGCTGTGCGACGGATGCCACCCCAAACATAAAAAGTCGTTATCTATTGTTTGAGGAATCACCCTGATACCCTGATTATCAGGGTGGTTATTGGTGGTCACACTCATGGCTTAGGGTAATTTTGTTGTGGAGCTAGGATTTTCCTGATATGCCAGGGTTTACATTTAAAGCTCGAGTCCCAAATTGCGGGGCGCGCAGGTCAAGCTTTTAAAACTTGACGAAGTAGTGTTTGCAAGCTTTGAAAAGAAGCGCGCTTGCAATCTGGGACTTTCGGGGACTCAACAAACCTCCAGGGCGAAAGACCAGGGCATGCTGGGTTTGGCGAAAAAAAACGAAAAAAAAACAAAACAAAACAAAAACAAAAAAACGAAATCGAAATCACTCGCCAAAACTCAGACCAGAAAAACGCACTCGGGAAGCAGGGCAGGGGTAGCAGAGAAGCGTGGAAGGAGATGGGGGGAAGCGTGGAAGGGGATGGGGGGAAGCAAACAAGGGGATGGGGAGAAGCAGGGAAGGGGATGGGGGGAAGCAGGGAAGGGGATGAGAGGAAGCAGGGAAGGGGATGAGGGGAAGTCGGGAAGAAGTTGAGAGGAAGCAGAGAAGGGGATGGGGGAAATCAGGGAAGGGGATGGGGGGAAGCAGAGAAGGGGATGGGGGGAAGCAGAGAAGGGGGTGGGGAAAATCAGGGAAGGGGATGGGGGGAAGCAGGAAAGGGGTTGGGGGGAAGCAAGGAAGGGGATGGGGGGAAGCAGGGAAGGGGATGGGGGGAAGCAGAGAAGGGGATGGGGGGAAGTAGAGAAGGGGGTGGGGGAAATCAGGGAAGGGGATGGGGGGAAGCAGGGAAGGGGTTGGGGGGAAGCAAGGAAGGGGATGGGGGGAAGCAAGGAAGGGGATGGGGGGAAGCAGGAAAGGGGATGGGGGGAAGTAGGGAAGGGGATGGGGGGAAGCAGGGAAGGGGATGTGGGGAAGCAGGGAAGGGGATGGGAGGAAGCAGGGAAGGGGATGGGGGGAAGCAGGGAAGGGGATAGGGAGAAGCAGAGAAGGGGAAGGGAAGGGTGTGTGCGGGTTGGAAAGGGGGCGTGACAAGTGTGCGAGTTGGAAAGGGAGAAGGGAGGGATGGTGACAGTGTCGAGAATGCCAGGGCGACGAGGGGAGAGAGATACGGGGATTGAGAGGGGATGAGCGGGAGGGAGGGCGACGAGCAGCAGGGAGCGCGGCGAGACAAAGGGGGGCAAGGGGCGGAAGGGAGCGTGACGAGGGGAAGGTAGGGTGGCGGGCGGTCGAGAGGGCAATGGGAGGAAGCAAGGGCGACGAGACAAAGGGAGGGTGACGGGCGGAAAGGGGGGCGACAGGCGAAAGGGAGGGCGACGGGCGGAAGGGAGGGCGACGGGCGAAAGGCAATGCGACGGGCTGAGGGAGTGGGACGGGCGGAAGTGAGTGAGATGGGCGGAAGGGGATGCGACGAGCACAAGGGAGTGCGACGGGCGGAAGGGAGGGCGATGGCGGAAGGGGATGCGATGAGTGCTAGGGAGGGTGATGGGCATAAGGGAGGGCGACGGCGGGAGGGAGGGCGATGGGCGTAAGGGAGTGCGACGGGCGAAAGGGAGTGCAGGCACACGAAAGGGAGTGCAGGCACGCGGAAGGGAGTGCAAGCACACAGAAGGGAGCGCGGCAGGCAGAAGCGGGTGCATCGAGGAGTTGGCAAGCGTGTTGAAACCAAGCAAGTGCCCGTTCCTTGCGCTTAGCACACCACCATCGTCCCTAAAGAAATGGGCAAACCCGGTGACGGTTTTCTTCATACTGGTAATTTTTCTTCTTCTGGGAGAACAACAAACGGGCTGCTGGGTGGATACAGACAGCTTGCTGCCATTGTAAAATTGAGAGCGCACACGTGTCAGAACATTATAGCTTATGCTGTTGTGTAGGCTATAGTGGGGTATCCCATAGGGGGTACAACCCAATTAGGGTTTCCTATATGTACTCACTTCATTCATAGTTCATTCATTCTCGTTCTACTTTTCTCATGGTATCGAGCAGGTTCCCCTGTGGGAACTGTGCCTAAGGCCCACCACATCGATTTTTTTTTCCTGCCCGAAGCGCGCTCGCCACGAGTCGCGCTCCGGGCCCTCTCTTACTTTGTCGAGCCGCCCTAGAGGCCCCGCCGCCCGTCGATTCGGCCCTGCCCTTAGTCGCGGCCTTGCCCTTAGTCGCGACCCCGCCCCTAATCGCGGCCCCGCCCTTAGTCGCGGCCCCGCCCTACGTCGCGGCTCCGCCCTACGTCGCGGCCCTGCCCTACATCGCGGCCCCTGCCGCCCTTCGTCGCGGCCCCTGCTGCCCGTCGTAGCGGCCCTGCCGCCCGTCGTCGCGGCCCCTGCCGCCCTGCACCGCCTGCTCCGCCCGTCCCGCCTAAGCCGCTGAGGACCCGAGCCGCCCGAGCCGCCTGTGCTGCTGGGAACCCGAGCCACCCGCGCCGCCCGAGCCGCCCGAGCCGCCCGAGCCGCCCGAGCCGCCCGCGCCGCCCGAGCCGCCCGAGTCGCCCGAACCGCCCAAGCCGCCCGAGTCGCCTGAGCCGCCTGAGGAGCCGAGCCGCTGGTTCTGCGGAGCTGCTGTTGCTGCTGGACCGGCCAAGCAGCAGTGGTGCCGTGTTGCTTTGCTGCTGAGCTGCCCGCACAGCCCTGTCTGGTGAGCACGACACCTCTGTCCACTACTGTCATGGCTACCCCTAGTGTCCTAGCTTTTGACGCTGAGGGTCGTGCCATTGACTTTGAGGTCTGGGTCAACGACCTGCAGCTGTTCTTGCAGTGCGATAGGGTAGACGACCTTTCTCTCTTTGACCTTACCTCTGGCGCCGTCCCTGCCCCTGCTGCTGATGCTGACCCCACTGTTCGCTCCAAGAGGGCCACACGCGATGCTGCTGTACGTCTTGCTCTGCGTCGCCACCTCCCTACCTCTGAGCGTGCGCACTTTAGTCAGTACAAGAGTGCTCAGACCTTGTACGACGCTGTAGTTGCGCGCTACTCCCCTGCCACAGCTGCACTGAGCCGCCTCATGCTACCGTACCTCTTCCCTGACCTTGCTGCCTTTCCCACTGTCGCTGACCTCATTACGCACCTCCGCACTAGTGACACTCGCTACCGCGTTGCGCTTCCTGCTGACTTCTGCGCCAAGAACCCCCCCCCATGTACATCACTCTCTACTTCATAGTCACTCGTCTCCCTGACTCCCTTCGAGTAGTTAGGGACCACTTCCTCTCGGTCTGTCCCACCACTCTCACTGTAGACCTCCTCGAGAAGTCCCTCCTAGCGGCCGAGAAGAGCATAGTCGCTGTAGGGGCCTCTCGTGGTGACCCTCGCACCCCCATCTTTGAGGGGTGTTCTCCTTCCCCCCTTTTGCCCTCTGTCGCCTCTGTCGCTGCGGCCGACCTCGTTGGTCTTGAGTCGGTCGGTGCGGCGTCTGCCCCTAGCAGGAGACGCCGCCCTGGCAAGGGCAAGGGGGGCAAGGGCGCGGGTGGAGCTAGTGGGGGCGGTGGAGGTGGAGGTGGAGGCGGCGGGGGGAGTGGGGGTGGCGGTGGGAGTGGTGGCGGGGGTGAAGGTGTCGGTGGCAGCAGTGGAGGCGGAGGCGGCGGAGGCGGCGGCGGTACTGGCAAAGGCGGCGGAGGCGGCGGTGGTAGTGGCGGAGGCATTGGTGGAGGTGGTGGAGGTGGTCGGGGTGGCGCTTCGCAGCGGAGCAGCACTGGTGGTGACCAGCGCCAGCACCAGCAGCAGCAGCGCTCTCGTGACATCCCCCCCCCTCAGCAGCTCCGTGAGTGGTACACGCAGCGTCAGCGTGGTGGGGGTTTTTGGTCCCTGCACCTACGTCCTTCGCACCGGCGACCGCGCGGGTGAGAAGTGTGAGGGTGCCCACCCCACCCTGCGCTGCTTTGGCCGCCTGACGGACGCTTGGCGTCAGCAGTTTCCTGAGGCCACTGAGATCCCCTGCTAGGGAAAGCTGTCTAGGGCAGGCGTAGCTATCTATGATCTTGACTTTGATGCTATCCTTGCTGCCATGTATGCTGTGACTATTAGTGATGAGGGTGACTGTTACCGGTGTTTCCCGCCCGACCCGGGCATTGGTACAGCTGCTTCAAGTTCTGGTGAGGCTGCTACTCTAGGTGCCAGTGCGTCTGCGCTCTCAGGTACTGGTGAGTCTGCGCTCTCAGGTACTACGTCGGCTTCGGCCTCCCTCACCTTCACCCTTGACTCTGGAGCGTCTCGCTCTTTCTTTCGAGACCGCACCACACTCACGCCCCATAGTCGGCCGGTTGCGGTGTCCCTGGCTGACCCCTCTGGGGGTCCTGTCCTGTCTCGCTTCTCCACAGTCCTCCCGTGTCCGGCGGCTCCCTCTGGTACCCTGTCTGGTCTCTACCTCCCCTCGTTCTCTACAAACCTGGTGAGTGGTGCTGACCTACAGAATGCGGGTGTCCACGAGTTCACTCCTGCGCATCAGCGGGTGACGCACTGCACAGAGGCTAGCAAAGGCCGACACCTGGCTACGTTTACCCGTCAGCCAGGGTCGAGCCTGTACACACTGACCACTGCGTCCCCTCCCGTTGCTGAGTCTGGTCGGGTAGCTGCGTCGGGTCAGGTGTTTGCTGCAGCGTCCAGGTTTGGTCCTGAGTCTGCTCCCTGTTCGTGTCGTCTCCTGTCTCACGAGACTCTCCTCTGGCACCACCGCCTTGGTCACCCCTCTCTGCTTCGGCTCGGAGGCATGGCCTCCCGTCTTCTTGTGTCTGGTCTCCCCCGGTCACTCCCTCCCCTTCCTCAGGGCCCTGGCCTTGCCTGTGTCCCCTGTGTCGAGGGGCGCCAGCGTGCTGCCCCTCACTCCTCCCAGTTTCCTCCGACAGAGGCCCCATTGCAGACGCTTCACATGGACGTGTGGGGCCCAGCTTGCGTCCGTGGACAGGGTCACGAGCGCTATTTCGTGCTCGTTGTTGACGACTACTCGCGTTACACGACAGTCTTCCCCTTGCGCAGCAAGGGTGATGTCACGAAGGTGCTGATCGATTGGATCCGCGCAGCTCGTCTCCAACTGAGGAAGAGCTTTGGCTCGGACTTTCTTGTTTTGCGTGTGCACTCGGACAGAGGCGGAGAGTTCTCCTCTGGCCTTCTGCGAGCCTACTGTTGTGCACGAGGCATCCGGGAGACCTTCACGCTTCCGGACTCTTCGCAGCAAAATGGGATTGCTGAGCGCCGCATCGGCATGGTCATGGACGTCGCTCGTACGTCTATGAAGCATGCGGCTGCCCCCCATTTTCTGTGGCCGTTTGCGGTCAGGTACGCGGCGCATCAGATCAACCTTCACCCCAGGGTCTCCAGGCCGGAGACCTCCCCAGCCCTGCTGTGGACGGGGAAGGTTGGCGATGCGTCGGCGTTCCGGGTCTAGGGATCTCGGGCGTTTGTCCGCAACTTGTCAGCGGACAAGCTGTCCCCTCGCGCTGCTCCTTGCGTCTTCCTGGGGTTCCCCCCTGACGCGCCTGGGTGGCAGTTCTACCACCCCACCTCTCGCCGTGTACTGTCCTCCCAGGACGTCACGTTCGACGAGTCGGTCCCCTACTACTGCCTCTTCCCCTACCGCACTCCGTCCCTCCCCCCGCCCCCGCTCTTCCTTGTACCAGGTCCCCCCCCGGCCGACCCCCTCCCCCCTCAGGGTCCTGCCCCTTCAGGTGTGTCCCAGGTAGACGCAGTCGAGCCTGTCGAGGTCACTGGTGACTCTGGTGTTGCTGTAGGTGCTGAGAGTGGGGGTGCTGAGCCTGGGGGTACTGTGCCTAGGGGTGCTGAGCCTGGGGGTGCTGAGCCTGGGGGTGCTGAGCCTGGGGGTGCTGAGCCTGGGAGTACTGAGCCTGGGGGTGCTGAGCCTGGGGGTGCTGAGCCTGGGGGTGCTGAGCCTGGGGGTGCTGAGCCTAGGGGTATTGAGCCTGGGGGTGCTTTGCCTGGGGGTGCTGAGCCTGGGGGTGCTGAGCCTGGAGGTTCTCCGGGTGCTTCGTCTCGCCGGGAGCCACTCCCTCCACAAGAGCTGCGCGAGTGGTTTGCCCGGCGCTGGAGCTGTGCTGCTTGTGTTGGAGGTTCTTCGGCTACTGAGGGTGCTGCTGTTGCGGGTCCCGGAGGTGCTCGTACAGGGAGTATTGGAGCTGCTAAGCCTGCGGGTTCGACTGGGGCTGGTACTGCTGAGGGTGTTGGCGCTGAGACTACCAGTGGCGGTTCTGCTTGGGTTGCTCCTGGTGCTGCTGGGGGTTCTGGAGCCGCTAGAGGTGCTACTGGAGCGGGTGCTCTTGCTGGGGGTACTAGTGCTGTCCCTGCTGTTTCTGGCGTCGCCGCGCGGCCTCGACCGTACTCCGTTCCCCTCCTGCGGCAGGTTCTTGGTCTTCCACCTTCTTTTGGTCCTCCTCCTCCCTTTGAGGGTCCACCGCCTGTCCCTTCACAGTCACAGCTACAGCCTGTCTCCCCTTTGCCTGCTCCTTCTCCCTTCGCTGGTCCTACTGGAGGTCTTACTGAGCGTCGTGAGCCTGCGTCTCGACCTGCGTCACCTGTTCGTGTTGCTCGCACTAGTGGTCGCGGTTCGCGTCAGCGTCCTCCTCCTGTCCGTGGTAGGCACCGAATGTCTCTGCGTCCGTCCATTGCTCCTCTGCGTGCCCCTTTGCCTTCTCCTCCTGAGTCCTCTCTTCCTGCTCTTGCCGACCCTGAGTCAGACTCTCTTCGTGCTGCCACTCCTACTGTCACGCGTCTCCTTGCTACTGTCATCACTGACCCTTCCTTCGAGTCTT